AAATGATGCATTCCAACACCATGTCGTGGGTTTACCTCAGTGACTTAAGTGTTGATATGTATTCCAAGAGACCTTTGTTTCAGTCTTACCGTTCTCACCCGTTTAATATTTTTTCTTCTACTAATTTTCTATCCAATCCGATGGTGACACGTGTCAGTATTTGTTTGAGTAAAAAATAAAATAAAATAATTAAAACTAAGAAAACATCGTCCAATTATGTTGTGACATGTATCGCAATATAATTAGAGGATTAAATTTATTAAATTATATTAAAAATAGGAATAAATTAATAGAATGTATAAATATTAAGAACTAAATATATAATTATACCAATTTATTAACTGTCACTTTAACATCTCCTCAAATACTAATGGCTAGTGACTTGATTGAATACAATTAAATAGTTAAGTGGTCTAATTGATAAAATTGAAAGGTTGATGGTAAAAATAAAAAGACTAAATAGTTAGATGGTCAATAATATAATTTACCTTAAATTTTTTCTTTTGAATAAAATAAATAAGACCTACCCATAAATTATTTAAATGACACTTCAAATAAGATTAGAAGCCTAATTCTTAAGAGTGAATTTACATTAATCTTGCCAGTATAATTGTGGGTTTATGACTTAAAAAATAAATAGTAAAATATAAGTAGAATTTGACCCCATATCATCTACAATTTTATCTTAGAAAATAAGATTAATATAAAAACATTTGTGTAATCTATACTTAAAATTGATTTTTTGGTGCCTAAATAATTTTTTGTTAAAAATAACCTAATGTTTTTCTGTTGTACTTTTAGGTGCATACCATTAAAAAAAATCGTTAAGTGACACGTGTTACGTTTAATTTTTTTTTAAATATTTTATTTTTTAAAAAAAAATAAAAAATATGAATGCAATTAGTGTCACTTAAATTTTTTTAACGGTAAATACCTAAAAATGTAATAAAAAAACATTAAACACCTATTTATAACAAAAATTATTTGAACACCAAAAAATAATTTTAAATATAATTTAAACACTTATCTTTGTATTAAGTATAGAAAATATCATTCGCAGTTTATACTTGGTTAGTTATATATATATGGATATACTGTGAGGTGAAAGCAACCATGTTTGTGGGTTCCATGGTAAGAAGTTAGAGGGCAGGGCTTTGTACCAGTGGTGTTGCTATTATTGCTGTTTAGTGCAGGTTAGGTCTGTTTGACTGGTTGGACTATATCGAATGGCACTTTACCCAATTTTAATTATTTTTCTGATGCACTTCACAGATACTGATATTTTTCTTCTGCATCATCATTGGTTGTATCCCAAGGCATTGACCCCAGTTTGATTTGCCTCTTAAGATGATATTTGTCTTCTTTTCATGATCTGACATTTCGATAAACCAAGCCATGAGCCATCCACGACGACCACCATCTGTTTTTCTATTGGAACCAACCTTCGGATAAACTCAAAAGCCACCATTTTCATATCGTAATTGCTTTCCTCTCATGGCAGAAATAATGCTAATAGTTTCCAGGAAATTGCTAAATTGTTTAATAACGGGATTGTCTAGTAATTGCAAATTCGTTCTCGGATCTCTGTTTTCCTTAAACATTAAATAATGCTCCCCCCACCCCCCTTTTTCGTGGAGATCACTAACATCTTCATACAACTTAATTTACTGCTATCTTTGCTCAATACGTAAACTTGCATATAAAGCACAAAGAGACCGCCATTTAAAAAAAGTAACAATTTAACATTATTTAATTTAGATTTAAAAGCGATTGTACAATAAATTCTATCTATTAATATTTCATAAAAAAGATTGCATGTGAAATGGTCGGAAAGGCAGAATGACGTCGTAGATTTTCATCCACGTTGACGTTGTTTGTTAGTAATTTACACCAAGACTCCATATACCACCTAGATTTCATAGGAGTTAGACTGTCTCAAAAGATAGGTAGTTTATGTGTTATTTTCTAAAATGAGATTTTTAAAATATTTTATAATAAAATAAAATTGTAAAATATTAAAATTTAGTAAAATTAAAACTAAGATGGACATTAAAAAAATTGTCCATCAAAAACCATAAATTTAGTGATTTTTTTTTAGAAATAATTGATTATAATTGAATTCTTGAGATAATAAGGGAGAAAATTAGATTATTTTTTTGTTAAATTTTGTTATGAGAAAATAATTATTTTTGGGTTAAAAGATTATTTTTTAAAGTATGTTCTCAAATTTTGGGTTATGACTACGTTGTCAATAGGTGAGCCGAGTGATCTATGACAAGTTTTTGGAAGACAAGGAGATATTGTGAATCTTTTATTGCTAACAAATTGGATAAAAAAAAAGTTTGATTTTGTTAGATTTACAAACAGACGAGATGCAGATAGAGCCATTCAGAGACTAAACGGATTTTAACTGTACGGATATAGAAATAGAATTAATGTTGGCTTGGCAAGGTTCAATGGGAAAATCATTCAAACTAGAGCAAGGTTAACTAGGCGTTGGAGGAGCCTAAGAAGACACCAGTCGAGTTGAAGGGATCTGGGGAATTGAGGAAGGATGAGAAAGATTCAAGAGAAAATAGTAGTCAGAGAGAACAATACATTAAGAGAGTACAAAGCTTCGTGGAGGACGAATTGCTGTAAAAACTTAAAAAAAGAGTGGTTGACACAATGACAACTGATTGTAGCATTGAAGAGGTGAAGTCAAGGCTTCATAGCTGGGCCTTGAAGGATTTGATATTAAAGGGGTGGGTGGCAGAAGGTTCATTATAGACATTATAGATGATGAACTCGAAGAGATGATGAAGAACCGACAATGGTCCTTGTTGAAAGAAGTATTCCTGGAGATAAGAAATCAAATAGGAGTGAATTCCACTGGGTGTTTACGATATTCCTATTTTTTGTTTTTAGTAAAAAATTCTCTCTGCAACTTCTGTGTTGGAATATATTTGTTTTTTTTCCCTGTTGAATTGCTCTTAGCTTGTTCTGTCTTCAGTATGGTAAGCTTTTTGTTGAAAATCTGGATTTCTTTCATTGAATTACAGGAACAGCTTGATTCACTTATGAAGCTTAAATGGCCTGCTCTGAATTGTAAAAGTGTTCCATGGGCCTTGCATATTTCCTTGTGCAGTTTGCATAGTTGGTCATTTGTAGGATCCAAAGTCAATGAGGATTCATCATCTCAACCTATTAGTGATACAGAACCAGTTCAAGAACCGGTGGGTGACATGGATGGAAGATCTGGTATCACAAAGGGAGAGCTGGAGGGTTTTAGGGAAGATGGGGAGCTTCCATCTTTGCTTTCAGTCCCATCTTCCTCAATTGATGCTGAACTTACTCCCCTAAAGGAATCTAGTCTTAAACATTCCAAGCAGTTGGCTTTGATTTCGTAGAGCATTTTGTCCCCAGATGGTAAGGGAATATTACCGAGTTTCAAAAAACATGAGGATTCTGTCTTAATGCTAGAAACGGATAGTGAACTGGACGAGACTCTAGAGACAGACTGAAAACTCTTCTACTCAATGCTATGAAATAGTTGAAAAATCATGGGTTGACTATGGTAAAAGGAATTTATTCTTCTTTTAACAAGGAAAACGGACAGAAGTGGGCAGAATATGACACGAGAAGCCAAGGTATCGATAATTTATTTTTCTTTTCTTTTTATTATGTTCATTAAAGATGGAAACCTGACGCCAAATCGAACAGTTGCAGATTAAGATCAGTACGGAGTACCCTCTTGGGCCTCCTCGGCTTACAGTGAATCTTTACGCCTCTCCTGGACAAAAATCTTCTGAGAATGACATTACGGATGTCACAATGAAGTCCGTGCTGTGGAAGCCGAGGTAAGGAAGTAGTATTTCTGAATTAGCAATCTCACAATTATGGATGGTGATTTGTTGTATTTTCTCCAGGGATATACATGGTATGACATTACATGAAGCATAGAATAATGGGAAGTGAAAAAAAGTTCAATAAATGTAGAGTATTTTTAGCCCTTTTGTTCTAGTGGTAGAAGTGGTGAGCTTGATGGTCGAGTTCCACCAATTTCTTAGTATTCTCTAAACTTCTTTAAATTGCATATCTGAAGAGCCTACTGTTACTACTATCTTTCCCAATCATGTTCAAACAAATTCTTACTCTGGTTGCATGGTGTAGGTAAATCTTCATATGTTAAAGATGGTACCTCCAGATGATGAAAACTATATCACATCAAGTACACTGTCTTGCTATGTTGTTTGACTATTACATGGACGTAGGGAGTCCATCTTCTGAGAAGAGGAAGACTAGTTCTGTGATTGATGTTGGATTGTGTAAACCTGTTAGAGGTAGACTTCTTGCCAGATAATTCAGGGGGAGAGATCGTCCGAAAATGATATCCTGGAAGGACATGGAATGCTCTACTGGCTACCCTTTCTAAGAATGAAGTTTCTGATATTCTTTTGCTGCACTGCCAGAGAAAGAAAAGGTGGAGGTGAATCTTTGACCATAAAGGGAACCAGAACGTACATTTTCTGTAACTATAACAGTGATTCTACTCATAAAGATAACTAAAGGTTGCCGTAGATCTGATTCCCTATATTGATAAACTAAAAAAGGAAATGAAGAGGCAAGGAGTACAGGTATTGATTCAGTAGTTGCATTGATATCGGGTGACGGCCTTGGGAGCAGAGGCTCCTGCTGTTTTCATTGGTTTCCGTAGACAACAAAAAATTGAACGGGAATGTTACCTAAGCTGTATGCTGATTTGCGTTTTCCTTTTAATTTCGTGGTATGTATCCCTCTTCGTTGAGCCAATCAACGGCTTAACAATGCATTTTGTTGGTTATGTTTACCGAGAGACCGATGGTTGAGTGGGTAAAAGTGCATAAGCATTGCGCTATCTTCTGACTAAAAACATTCAAAATATCATTTTACTTGAGAATCGCATTGTCTGAATGTGTCCATGGTAAAAGAAACACAACAAATAGTTCAATTAATGGTGATGATGGGCAAACTCTTGAGACGCTCGGAAATTTACATATATGGTGCAACTTAATGAGCCATTATCTTCATAAGAAAAACAGAAGCAAATTACAAATATTAGAAGATTCTTATCCTACATCGCGCTAATCCATTTCTCCAAATCTCAAAGAGCAAACAACTGTCATTAACACCTATCTAACCATGTACAAAACCACCTACCACGCATGATTTAAACCACCCTTCCACTTTCACCATGGACCAGTCTGAGTTCTAGGCAAGCATCGTTTCTTAGCTCCTTGTGGCGTTTTCATCGTCTCAATGACCTGCGGCAAACAACCAATTGAAACTTGATTTAGAATATTGAACATTCTAATATAAATAAAGGTTATACTTCACAGCTCATGCCAGCTGAAATTTCTTTCCAATTTTGTTCTAATTTGATTGGATTGTGCACTTAAGAATGCTTGTAAACAAAGTAGTCAACTAGTGAGTACATAGTGTAAGAATATAATGATGTTCCAGGAGGAAAACAGAGACAACTTCTCTTTACCTCCTTTTTCTGCATTTCCATGAGTTCTGCCTGCAGCAACCAAAAGTACAGACAATGAGACTGTAAGCATCTGTTTGCCATAAGCCAACGATAAGTAATATGATGTACAAATGAAGAAGATGCAGAACATACGAGCTTCTTCCTCAATTCTTGGTTTTCCTCTTTTAGGTTTGCCACTACTGCTTCCAATTCCATTGTATAAGCCTAGTGGATAAGCCAAATAAGAAAGATCCAACCCATATTTGGGACCAAACCAACCATAAATTTACTGGTTAGAAGTTACCATGGGATAGAACAGAACTGTTTTAATTGATAATGTTATAACAAACTTAAACAGAATGATGAAGTAAAAGGTATGAAGAAGGAAGATTAAACAAATTTGAGTAAATCAAAAGTTGGTTCATTCACCTGCTTGCGAGCTCGTGACCTGGCAGCTGATTCTCTGTTCTTTATTTTTCTCCTTTGTCTCCTCTCTGCAACCTTTTCCACCCCACTGTATTTCCTACCCCTAAAGTTCCCATTAAACACATAAGGAACTGGGGAAACTGAGGAGGTATCTTCACTGTTCTTTCCAATCCCGTCCGATGAAACCTGGTTCGCAGGCGATCCAGTTGCAACTGCCAGTGGCCCTCCTAAACCGACCAACCCCATCAGGCCGTTACTTATTCCCTGAGGCTGATTCCCAATCCCATGAATTCCGGGACTCCCCAACTGACCACCGCTTTGTAAAGGCAACTGTGCTCCATATCCCACACCAGTTTGCTTAGGAAAAATTGGTTGTTGTTGTTGCTGAGCCAACTGGTGCTGGTTCGATCTAACACCCTTAACGTTGGAAGGCAAATTGGAAGCCTGGATACCAATATGATTACCACCTTCAGGAATCCTATTCCCTATCAAATTTGGACCTTGTTGAAACCCGATTTCAAAACTGGTATTATTCAAACCAAAGAATCCTCCATTGTTAACCTTCCCGGCCAATTGAGTATCTTCTCTTACCACACCAGCCCTCACCAAAAACTCCTCCAAAGTAATCTCTCCTAAGGTCTGCTGCCTTTGTGGCATATTATTAGTGCCTCCGGTTCCAATACCGTCTTTCCCAAAGGAATACTCCCTTGAAATATCTTTCCAGACTTGGTCAACAGTTTTCTGGCTAAGTGTTCTTGGTAAAGTCAAGGACCCTTGCCTTTGTAACCCTCCATTTCCCTCTAGGGCGCCACCAGAAGAAGCCATTGTTTGAGTGTCTTCAGCACTTCAAATGTTCCTCAACAGCTCATCCATGTTCATCGACCCGAAATCTTTTCCTATTCCACCCATAGTGCTTTGAAACTCATCGAAGGTTAGAGAATAGATTGATGACTGTCTAGCTAACGGGTTATTCCCCAGCGGTTTATTCTCCCCGCCGTCACCCGACAGCCGGTGGTTACTTCCAAAGTTCTTGAAGTTCATGTTAGTCCCCATTAAAATACGTATAAGACAGTGTCAAAATTATAATGTGCAGATAGTCCTTTGCTACAACTTCCATGCAAGCAAAACTGATAAAATCCCACAAATTTGAAGTTTATATATTTCTCTATAATTGTGAAGTTCACATTTGCAAAGGAAAAAAAACCCTAAATTCAAGATCTATACAAGAGTTTTTCAACAAAGAAAAACAATAAAAAACATAAACATAGGAGAAAAGAAAAATGGAATGTAAAAATCAACTCTTTTCTGTTTTGCTCTTTTAAGAGTTAGCAACACCTAACGTTTCAATGTGCTCAAGAAAATACAAGTTTTCAATAATCAGAAATTTGAAAATCTGAGCGAAGGAAAACATAAGCTTTTTCTCGTAGGCAAACAATTTAACAGGCCAGATAATTGAAGGGAGAACAAAAAAGTCAAAACAAAAAGAATATTTAAAAAAAACAATTTTTAAACAAATGAAAACCTACAAAAAAAAAATTAAAAAAGTTGATCACAGCAAAGAGAAGAATGGGCTACAGAGGTAAACAAGCAGGGAAAGAGAGATTTTTTTATATATATATATTTTTTTATGTATTTTCACTTTCTATTTTGTTGGTTTAATATTTTTGTGCTTCTGGCTGCGTCTTCGGACAGCGTTTAGTTCCGTCTTCCGTTTCGAGACCAATGGCTTTCGCAGAAGCGCCAGGTGTCCCTTTTACCTCTTTTCTTTTTAAACTTTAAATAATTATTGCAGGCCGGCTGATTTGGGAGACGTGGACCAATAGGAAAGGAGTAGGAGGATTGTGACGTCGATATCTGGCCAGTAAGAAATTGAAAAATGGGACGACATGAACCGTCCACGTTGCTTTTTTTTTTTTATGGTTTTGGATAGCGCCGACAATGGATAAATGCTAATGAAGTTCAATTAGCAGGCTTTGAATTAGGGGTACTTTGGTCTAAACGTGATGTTTATCGATTTTTCACTGGCCTGTCTGATCATTTGTTTTTAAAATTTGAATTTTAAAAAATATAATATACTTTATTATTACTATCATTATCCAGAATGCTTGTTACATATTAGACCTGCAATATATTTCATCACTCCACCTAACCAACATTTCTTTTATCAGTACAGATTTGGCTGCCTTTTTCATACATGTGATAAAGCCTTGAATTTCATGAAGATACAAAGAATTGGTTAAGATTTTATTTAATAAAGTAAAAAAACTATTATTTTTAAAAATGCTTTAAATCAAAACTAATATAAAAAATGATTGAAGTATTATACTATTTAATAAAGTAGAAAATGAAGTTTGATGTGAAATATTAGTTGCTATGGCGGACAATAATCATAATTTTGTTTCTAAAAGTAAAAAAAAAAAAAGTATTAGCTTTGTTTCCTGAGTTGTGTGCCGCCAGCGGAAGATCCATATTGTATTTGATAGATTCAAAGATAAGGCAAACAAACTCGTGTGTGCGTTAATAATGACAACATTAACCTAAAACAGAAAGATTTTGATAGGGAGAAAAACAATGAGAGTACAGTGTGGGCGTTAATTAAGGATGACAATCCATTCAGCAGAAACTACAATATTTTCGGTTTTTGCTTTTCTACAACTTGCATCCACATGTTAATTGCGTTTAAGTTCAAATGTTATCTGAGCTCCACTTTACAAACAGTATGAAGAAAAAACAGTAAAACCATTGTGAAAACAACATGGCATTTACAGATGAAAATACCACGAGCACTTGAAAACGAATGCATAAACTGTTTTATGATTATCCCACAAGAGAAAACAGAAGCCAACATTAAGATTTAGAAAAATCTTAATCTCATTTGATTTAGGAAGTCGGGCTCTTTCTGGAATAAACTCGTGCATTTTATTGGGAATGTGACACAAACCCAAAGATCAAGTTTAAATTGTTATCTTTACTTTCTTCTTCTTTTTCTTCAAGGTTGAACATGTTCGATCCGATAGAAATTTACTTGCCGAGGTTGATAGCCGGTGCATTGTAAAGATGTTCTATTATTTTCAAGATTCTGATTTCTTGTACCTTATTATGGAGTATTTGCCTGGAGGTGACATCATGAGTTAGGGCTGTAAACGAGCCGATTCGAGCTCGACTTAAACTCGAAAAGTTTAAAATTAGGTTCGACTCGAAAACTCACGAGCTAAAAATTATCAAGCTCAGCTCGAACTTGAAATATAATATTGAAACTCGACTCGAACTCAAAAAAAATTTAAGAGCTCAATTGAAGCTCGAGACTCGAGCTCGATTTTGAGCTCGATTCAAGCTCGAACTCAAACTCGAATTTGAACCTACAAAAATTTTATATTACATTTAAAAATATTTTTTAAAAAAATTTATAATTATCAATAATGCATTTTTAATAATGTAATTTTAAAAAATCTAAAATTATAATATAACGTTTTTTCGAGTAGCTCGCGAGCTTTTCGAGTCGAGTATTAAGTAGCTCGTTTTAGCTTGGTAAAAATTCGAGTCGAGTTCATTCGATTCGAGTGTTGATCAAGCTTTGACTGAGTCGATCTCGAGTAGCTCGTGATCTGTCTCGTATCATTTACAACCCTAATCATTACACTATTGATGAGAGAAGATATTCTTCCCGAAGATGTTGCACGTTTCTATGTAGCAGAGAGCATTTTGGCTATTCATTCAATTCACCAACACAACTATATCCATAGGTATTGCATTTTGTTAACATGTTTGTAAAATTATTACTAAGTGGAGTGTTTCGATGTGGGTGGCTCAGTAGCAGGACTTCGATTTTCCTGAACGTATGTGCATTTTAATCGATGAGAAACGATTACCTTGGCTATAGCCCCAAGGTTTTTTATACGTTGTTCTTGTGCTGGAGGAAAAACGTGGGGATAATTAGATGCTTAAAATACTTTAAACTGGAATAGTCTCTTTCATGTATTTATGCCCTATGATGTTTTGTAGGGACATTAAACCAGATAACCTGATACTAGATAGGAATGGGCATTTGAAGCTTTCAGATTTTGGCTTATGTAAACCCCTAGATGAAAAGTATTCATCAATTCTGTTGAAGATGAAAATTTAACTTCCACGGAATCTGCCAATGAAGCTGCAATCCAGTCAGACTCTGGAAGAGCCCCTTGGTTGATGCCAAAAGAACAACTACAACAGTGGAAACGGAATCGCCGTGCACTGGTATTATCTTTATCTATCTGCAGTTACTTGCATACAATCCTTAATTTGAATGTCTTTCTATTTTTCTGATTTTACGTACATTAATCAGATACGTTACTTTCATTCAGTAACAGCTAATTTCTGGCTTTTGCAGGCTTATTACACAGTCGGGACTCTTGATTACATGGCTCCTGAAGTTCTAATAAAGAAGGGTTATGAAATGGAGTGTGATTGGTGGTCTCTGGGTGCAATCATGTATGAGATGCTCGTCGGCTATCCTCCATTTTGTTCTGATGATCCTCGGATAACATGCCGAAAGGTGGCACCAAGTTTTTATTATAAGTTATTCTGTTAGCCTCCTTTGTTCACTAGATGATAATCTTTCTATATTTGCACAGATAATCAATTGGAATGCTGCCATAGAAGAGTACTTGAAAATCAGAAAACCAGAAACACATACTTTATCTATGAAGGTAAAGCAAAAACGCAGCGCGACAATTTGTAGCCGCCGACCAAGCTCTGTGGGAAAGCTTCTACAGCCTCTTTTGTCCGATCCGAAGCAATGAAACTTTATTCGAAGGTGTTGGAATTCAAATTTCCCAAGATTCAACCATAGGTATAACTGTTTCCATCATTGAAAATCTCGGAGTAATCATGAGGATTGTACTTGCAAGTTTGTGGGAGCCCAACTTTATGATCAGATCCCACGAGTTTTCTGATCTCACTTTGTAAAAGATATGCCTCCAGCTTCCTTTGTTATGGCACCCAAGGATCCTGGTTTTTTTTTCGTTCATCGTCATGTCATTAGCGAACATGTGTTTTTTTTGGAAAGGATCCAAAACAACCACAGTCCCAACATTTTCTAACGAGCTACCGACGTATTCTCCCATGGAAGACAAAGATTTTGATATGCGGAATGTCCAGGATTTCTCCATTGAAGAGGTGGGTTGTAATTTGATGTATAGAGCGAAGAGCCCCTTCGTAGCTGTCCTCGGGCATTGGAGGCTGCTGGGACGTTATCTTTGGATTCGATTTGCGTGACCGGGAGTGACGTGTTTTTTCGGAAGCTTTGAATGATTGAGCTCATGATTGCTGGCCTATGGCGATAAACTAGATGGCTAAAAAAATTTGGCGATGCCCGGTACTGGTGGCATTGCTGCCAGGAGAAAGAAGAGATGGAAAAAGAAATGAAAGAGGTGAAATTTTAGTGGTCACAGCTCCATTACAGCCTGTTTTTATTCCCATTTCTTTCATTGAGCTATCAAAGCTTACAATACTGGAACTCTGAAACCTCGAACAATCCATTGTGATGATTTTGGAGGAGGAGGAGGAGAAGAAGAAGAAGAAAAAGAAAGGACGTAGTTTTTTAAGGGTAAGGGTGTTAATGAGAATGGTTGTGGGATTTTTTTAACGGTAAGAGTGTTGATGAGAATGGATGGAAGGAGGGTGTTGGTGAGAATGGGTTGTGGGGAAAGAAGAAGAAAAAGAAGAAAATAGTCAACGTTTGAAGACACATGATTTTTTTTGTAATTGCAAACTCAAAATTTTATTAATGATTTAACTAAAATTAACGGTTAAAGATCTGAACTTGACCCTAATAGCGTTAGAGATTAAATGTATTTAATTAAAAAAATCAGTAACTAAAATCAATTAGATCAAAAAAAGAGACTGCTGAGATTGTTTATCCAAACAAATAAAGGAGAAATCAATAATAATAACAATAATAATATAGAAATTTATCACCGAACGACCCAACCTTTAAATTGGAAGTTGAAACAGAAGGAATACCCAGGAACCTCGCACCATTGTCCCCAAACAAATTTCTCTTGTTAACTCGTCCTCGTTCTTTTGAAGGACGTCTCTTTTCTGTCCCTCTTTCCCTGTCAACCTAGGGTTTTCGATTTTCCAATTTTTTGTTTTAGAAAAAAAAGAATTTGTCTAACCTTCTTGATATTAGTTTTCATCATTCATTCTCCCCAATCATTTCGTGTCTAATTCATTAAATTTGCAAAGCCGCCGTTTTTTTGGACCTCGAAGGCTGTCGGGTCGGGAATATCCCGTAGAAATGGGACCAGTTTGTTAGGCGCGCCAAGAACGGTGAGCGGTCTGGGAACATCGATCAAATCCGATGGGTTACTAGCATTTGACCGCCGTCGGTCCACTCGTCACTCTGTTCACGCAAGGAGGCTTCTATTGTTCCATTAAACAATTTTTTAATCATTACATTTTCCAAAGGAGACAATTTTTAGGATGTGGAGACGGCGAAGAAGGCGGCGTTTTATCAAAAGTTGACGAGGAAAAGGTCGTCATGAGGAAAGGATTTAAGCTGTCAAATTGGCATCAGTACAAGATTTCTTATTGGATTAAGATGTTTTTATTGATTATTAGGTATTCGCCGGAACAATTATTTGATGTGGTAGCAGCTGTTGATTTGTATCATGAATTTGTTCCTTGGTGTCGTCGGTCTGACATAATTAAACGGTATCCAGATGGATCGTTTGATGCTGAATTAGAGATTGGTTTCAACTTTCTTGTCGAGAGTTATGTTTCTCATGTAGAACTAAGCAGACCCAAGTTCGTAAAGGTAATAGCAGGGAATTTTACCCTTTTATTTCAAACAGCTGCTTTTCCTTAGTTTGGCTTTAATATTTTTTATGTAAGCTGCTTATATCTACTTAGCTATGTTTATTGTATTAACTATTAAGATATCCGCATATTTGATGCTTGGAATTATTGCATTATGCTAAATGTAGGACCTTTTATCTGGCAGTTGCTTCGGGAATGAAGTTGAATATCAATTAGCTGTTTAACTGTAGGCCTTTTTGAATGCTTTGCCATTTCATGAAACTGATGAGTGAGAACATTTATATTAACGGGCTATTTCCTGGATATGCTACTTGCATATTGCTAAATCCTTCGTTGTCCTAATATTTAGGAAACAGAGTAGTTGTAAACGTAGATTTGTTGCTAACCAAGGATGTGAGAACTATAAACCATTGACTTAACTGTCTGAGCATGCTTTCGGGCAACTTATGTGAATTCTATAAAATGCATTTAGGGGGACTCAGATATCAATTTATCAAATTGAATCAGGTTGAGCTGGACATGATTGAGATGTAGTATTTCGTGTTTTAAACGTAAAATTAACTAAAACGGGAATGAAGCAATTGGAGAGCAGCACATGTTTTTGTCTCTCTCCCTTCTTCCAAAATATTGAATTAGAACCCAGTGTCACGTAGCCTCAATCAGAAAGTAATCATCTTATTTCAGGTCAAAACAAACTCAAACTTGAAAGTTTGCCTGAATATTTGGGGCAGCGACATTTACCATTTCGCTTAATCTTATAGCGAGTTTTTATTTGTTTCTTGGAGAATGTATGTTATCTCTTTTGCTCCTTATGATTGTAATGACTATGCTTCTCAATGTTGATTATATTTAACCAGGGTTTACTCTTGAGGTTACTCTTGGCTGGATAAACAAAAAAAAAACTTTTCTCTGTCTGTCTATGCCATCTGTGGGCTACTACATTCTACTTGTGAATTGCTAAAAGGATATTGATTGGCTTGCCTCTGCATAGATAATTTTTATTTTGTCCATGGATTTAATTTTTAACCTTAACTCTTACTGATGATCTGACCCTATATCATGTCCTTGCAGTCAACTGCGTCAGAAAGTAGCATTTTCGATCATTTGATAAACATTTGGGAATTCAATCCCGGAACAGTTCCAGGAACTTGCAACCTTTACTTTCTTGTGGACTTTAAGTTCCAGTCACCACTCTACCGGAAGGTAATGACCCTAAGAACATAGGGAGTTTGTAGATCTTTAGATTCTTTACCAATACCTTACTTTCCCTCTCCTTGTATGCATGTAACAATTGCTCTGCCGTTTATCATTTAATGAAATGTGTGCCTGGTTCTTTGCTTTTATGTTTTTGTTCATCAATTGATCCTTATATCCTTTTGTTCTTTTTCATGTAACCGCTATCCATAATGTCAGCGAAAATGTCTTTTTAAAGCATTTTATTGCCTTACTTTTTTGAATGAAGGCATTTTGTATGCTGCTTTAGAAAATGAGAACCTTTTGCTTACATTTTTTGGGGGTTTAAAATGAAAATTTGTTTGAGGTGTAGCTTGAATCATCCTAATCTTGGTTGTGTGAAACAGGTTGCATCCATGTTCTTTATGGAAGTAGTATCCCGAATGATCAGCTCATTTAGTGAACGTTGCCGATTGATATATGGTCCTGGGGTTGCAGTCCTTGAGAACTCTTATGGAGAAAGGACATGAACATGTTTCTGGAAGCGACGCTTGCTGTGTAATGTATTTTTGTGCAGCAGCTGGAATTATTATCATAAAGATACTCTCACAAATCAAAACGCCTACCGGGTAGCGTTTGTTTTCAGTACTGCCCAGGCATTAAAGATTCGCCTTAACCATGTTAGGTATTCGTGCATCCAATTTTCACAAATACTAATGATGTCATCCAACTAATTTCAGCTTTTGCCAGTTTTTGTAGTTTTTCTTACACTAGTAGCTATGTCTATATTTTACAGACTTTCAATTATGGGCCATGCATTTTTGGTTTTGTTGGAACACACAACGATCTTATAATAGCATGATATATTCTCATTGAGAGCTTGGTTGGAAAGATTGATGAGTCACCCTAGCCAGATCCAGATCTGTTGGCCTGGCCCAGCTTAATTTTTAAAAAGAACAAATCAATTACAGTAAGTTTCCTTTTTGTACCTTTATTGAATCTGCCTTTTCTTTTCAATGCAAATAAATAAAACAAATTTTTCAGCATTGAAGTTGTCAGGGATAAATAGTCCATCATCACCTTGATATAGTTTGAAATTTATTTTCTCTGATGTTACCAAGTGTGTTGTCCAAATTCTATGGATTGACAACTCAAGTAGAGATAACTCACTCTCAGTGTGGCCGTACCATAAACTAGGTGGTGGCTGTGGCGACAGCAGCAGCTAGCAACGATGGTTTAATGGAAGTTTCTGTTGTACGACGATAAGGAAATGAGCGAAATTTATAATGTTAAATTTATAATATTAGCTATTAAATCAAAAAATATTAAAAAAAATTATTATTTGAAATTGCGTTTAATCGAAAATGTTATACCTTTTTATAATATTTTCAGTTGCTTCATTTTTTTATTTTAATTTCTTGTTATTTCTTAACTTAATTTCTGTTTACGGGACACTTTTCACTTTAGGTTTTACTTTTGAACTGGCACATGTTTTGACTACACTTAATTTCAGTTTCGACCAACTATGGGCCACATTTAACACTGTTAATGGCGATCAATTATCGTTGTTCCTACCAAGACCTCCACCACCCCCTCGTAACATTAATAAAGGGTTTGGGTGAAGAAGACAAGATAGGAGGAGGCGGGCTATGGAAGACAAATTGCGTTAATGTATGACAGTACGCCACTCATCGATTAAATAAAACGAGTCACTTCATCAAAGTTTTAGATTTTAATTTTATTAAGTAATAATCACATTTGGCACGGAACACAAAAGACTGTTAATCAATATTAATGAGAGCGTTTAGAAAATAAAAATAAAAAGGATGATGAGAGTGAACCCACGTATATTGACCATTCAATTATATACACAAAGAAAATGACACGAAAAGCAAAGTTGGAGGGTGCAAGCAGGGGCGGAGCATAGTGAGGGCCCAAAGGGGCCAGGACCATGTTAAATTTATATATTTAATATAATTTTGGTTTATTAGTATTTTGGTTCATAGAAAAATTAATATTTAAATTAAAAATATAAAATTTTATTAATTATTTAATCAAGTAGGATCGAACTAAAGAAGAGTAACCACGTGTTCTCAAAATTTTTGGTCTAATAATAATTTAGGTCATTGTAAGTCATAATATTACACAAATTAAGTGTTATCTTGTGAATTTTGAGTTTTTTTTATAAATCTATGGTGAATACAAGGTAATATATGTACAAAGACTCTCAACTATTTAACAATGATCGCACATACCCCACATGAGCAGTGTTTGAACTCGAGACCTCAAGGATAACAACAATCCCTTAATCACTAACGTTGCTTAGTTCATGCTAAATTTTGAGTTTAAATATTTAATAAGTCTTTATATTTTTTAAATAGTCCAATATTTCGGCTCCTGTCGATATTTAGTTCTGGTTCCGTCCCTGGGTGCAATTAAGAATTTTCCAATTTGATTGGGTGTCTACCTCAAACTAGTGTTTTAAAGGATACGAGATAAATAGTATGTTATTCGATTTTATAAAAGTTCAATCAACACTTTATTCGAATTGACTCAACTCGAATTTTAACGAGCTACTTCATACTCGACTCATAAAGCTCGCGAATAGCTCAAAAAATAATATTCCAATTTTATATATTTTAAATTAAATTATTAATAATATTAACAATTATATGATTTTTAATAAAATGCAATATAATTTTCATGTATTTAAGGTTCGGATTTGAGCTCGAGTTTAATATTAAATCGAGTTAAATCTAAAAATGTTTTCGAATTCAAATTGAGTTTAATAATTTTAAACTCGTATGGTTTCGAGTAAAATCGAACTTGGGTAAGATGGTTTACAACCCTACCTCAAGGCTCAAACAAATGACCCAAGAGCCGAAGGAATCAATAATTCAGACGCTTTCGGAGATACTCTCCAGGTTGAAGTGGTGCTTAAAAAACTCGCAATGGGTTATTTCCCATTGGCCCAGCACATGGAGGTGGTTAGTGATGTTTTTGGTATCGCAGTAGAAATTGTACAGTACTAGGGATAAGCATTAAAATCGAGTCTATTCGAGTCCAAAAGAATTAGAGTTAATCGAGTTAACGAATCTTATTTTATAACTCGAACTTAGCTTGAAATTTTTTCGAGTCGAGTCGAGTTATTCGAGTTTCTATACTAATTTTATTATAATTATTCATAGTATTATGGCAATGATTTGTTCCAATTTTTTTACTTTATCTAATATTTCATGTATTCTACTATGGTTTAGGAGCATGTGGTTCAAATTTGGTTAAAAAAATGGACTTAAAATGAAAAAAGAATTGAAGAAATAATGAAATCAGTGACTAAATCGTAAAACTGTCAAAGAATTGGGTCAAATTTCCAGCTTTTTGAGTAACTCAAAGATACAAAAGTTCAACTAAACTCGAAAAACGAATTTATAATTCAAGTTAACTCGAGTAACTCGAAATTGAAAATAATCAATTTTTCGAATCAGTCGAGTTTTGTTTACCCTTAGACATTACTTGTGCATAAGTTCTATCTTTTCCTTGGACGGAGGAGGCCCTATATAGTCGGTGGATTGAGCGTGAGATCATATAGATTATTTATCTTATTATATTAAATCAGTGGTAAAATTATTAAACGTCTGATCAGAATCCGACTGAATTATGCAATAGATAATCTATAGCATACCTTGCTCAGTATGCTTGGTTACGATTGACATTATAGAACGAGTGTCCATGAGTTTTGAGACTGTTTGGTTATTGTACGTCTCAGACCCTCCTCCCACATACCGAGGTCGTGGATCCCCTATGCTTATGATTCATGAATGCATTATTTTGTGGACTGAGATTGGATCCTTGTTTAGCAAAATTTTATTATGAATTGGATTAAATATAAAATAAGTGCATAGATTATACCATCTTTCATGAATAGCGGATAGATGAACATGGCTTCATAGAGGAGTCATTGCGCATCCACTATTTTGAGTAAAAATGTTAAATTTAGTTTAATTTGCTATTGAAAGTAGAAAAAAATTGCATACCCAAATTTTTTAAAATAAAGTATTAAAATTTTGGACCCCCATTTTTTCAATTTCTAGACCCGCTACTATAAATAGGTGTCTATTTTTTTTACTCATCTCGGTGCCTTCCGTTACAAATGTTATCATTTTAAATGTCCATGCCATCAACGACGTTAATTTTCTACATTAAGTGACATGTTTCATAATTTGGAAATTTTAAATTTTTTATTTAAAAAATTTAGAAATATATATATATTTTTTTTATAGAAAATCCAAAATCTTAAAAAATCTTAAAAACCTCCTCTAAACTTTAAAAATCCTAAATCTAGTCCTATAACAATGCTCGTCACCCGCCGTTGTCGTTGTCATTGATTGGACTTCCATCTGGTCACTTCTCTTAAAAATCTCCTCTAAACTTTGAAAATCCTAAATCTAGTCCTATAACAATGCTCGTCACCCGCTATTGTCGTTGTCATTGATTGGACTTCCATCTGGTCACGCCTCAATCGAAGAATTGTTCCCCGATAAACAAACACCATAAAAGCAACGAAATCTCAACAAAATCAACGCCGAAATCACCCCTACGAATGAAACAAACGAAAACCATCGTGAAGGCCATGCCGACTCCATAGCAAGGACAATGTTGTAAGACTACAGAGATGGCAAGGGAGGTGTCGGAGGTAGTGGTTGTGGCTGGAAACGGTGGTGGAGTTAGGATTAGGGTTGGAATTTGGGGATTTTAGGGGTTTTGGGTTTTTTTTATGTAATTTTAGGGGGAAATAGGCTATTTTTTATAAATATAATTTTTAAAAATTTTATTTCAAAATTATCATAGCATAACGCATGTCACTTAACGGGAGAAATTAACACCTTCGACGACTCAGGCACCTAAAATAGTAACATTTGTAACGTTAGGCATCGGGATGAGTTAAAAAAACTTTAGAAACCTATTCATGAAAAACGGAATAGTTTAGACACTTATTTTTTATTTAAGCCTTATTTATTTATTAGATAAAATTGATAAAAAAAATTAATTGATATTCGATTTAGAAATAGGATCCACTTACATCGATCTAGTGTAGAATTTTTACTTTTACACCTTTTTATGATTGTTAAACGAGAAAAATCAAAGATTGAGATCAACTCATTGTTTTTCTTTTTCCAGTGAATATCTACATATTTTTTATTGTTAATCTCAACATTTGATTTTACTCATTCAACAGTAATAAAAATCTGTAAAACTAAAAATTTTACACCAAATGTAATTGGATTATGCCCATTTGATTTAATAATAAATATATATTTAAAAAAATAACTTATATAAATTATGTATATGTTCGTTTTAAATATTATTTTAACTTATTTTTATAATATTAAACAATGAATTACATATATTTTATTTATGATTGTATTTTTATAAATGAAAACGCTAATTTTTTTTTTAAATTAACCTGTGTTCATTAAGCAAACATAGAATCAGCATGAACTACAGCATGTAGCCAGTTCGAAACTACAGTAGTAAAATAAAGGGGTTCGGTCGACTTTGTGGCGTAGTTTGCTAGTGCATGTGTTGCCCCGTTCGCCTCTCACCGGATAAACCAAATGGTGATGTGAAG